AGGTTCCATTCATTCGTCTCTTAATTAGGCTTTTGTGGCCAGTAAAGCTGATAGTTCAATGTTTGTTTCCAAGAAGGGTTGTGATATTGTCTGAGAACATTCCAAGCACACGCATAATACACTCAATCATTTTTTTAAAACGTTTAGCACATAAATGTAATTTGGCTCTCATTTTCACCTCCACCTTTGGCAACTGGCTTCTAATATTTGTTTTGCTCTCCAAGTTGGATTTATGGGCTTCTAATATTTTGTTGCTCTACTAGTTAGATTTATGAATATTAATTGGGTTTTATGGTATGTGATTTTGGTGGTTGTGTGCATTATATTCTCATTTTAATATTGTCATTGAAGATAATAGAACATATTTGAGGTACTGAGTTCTCAATGGTGTTACTTTCCGTCTTCTAATTTCTCAATGGTTTGTGATTGTTTTTTTTTTTTTGGGTAGGTAATATCAAACAAGATAAAGCGTTGCAAAACAGACTCATTTCCAGGGTTAGTGCTTACTTATGAATTTATTGTTTTTATAGTTTCTTCACTTATGTCAAAGGTTATTTCTAATTTGATGTCTTCTACGATCTCTTTCTTATGTTGGTCTGGTATATTCCACAGCTTAGAATTTGACAATCCTGAAAGACCCGAATGCAGCAATCTTCTTTCAATATATCAGCTCATTTCAGGCAAGACAAAAGAGGTGTGGAAAGTTGGTGAATTTAGGATGAATATTTCATTGGCATCCAGATGTTTGATTGTGTATTAATTATAAGGTGCTTCATTTAGCTTCAAGATAGTCTAAAATGTAGAATGTATGACTTTCTTCTATTGCAGGAAGTTGCACAGGAATGTCAAAATATGAATTGGGGAATGTTTAAAACCCTCTTAACAGATGCCTTGATTGATCATCTACATCCTATTCAGGTTTCTCTCTTTTAGCGCGTTATGGTGCAGCCAAACACATTTTTGATATATTGAACTCTCTGTAATTTTCTTTCCAATCATCGTCCCATTTCATATAATTATTTCCAGAATAGAACAGCTTTGTGGTGTGTTGTTCTGCAAAGGTAGGTTTGTTGGGGTATATAAATTGGGTTTTGAACCCTTGATATTGAACTAAGCACAAGGAAATGTTTGCTCCAATAGCTAGATGGCTTGGGCACATCAAAGGTAGTTTCACTTGAGGTCCTTATGAAAAGAAACCAGCTTGACTGGGTGCTAACTATATGGTCAGTAAGTTCATGTAAGGTCGCACAAGGATCTACTAACACCTGGAGTTGGGTGGTCAAATAAAGTCTATCCCTGATCACTGGTACTGGTATTTTCTTTGAGTATATAAGATGGGTTTCAAATCTTTGATATGTGAACTATGTACAAGGAAACCTTTGCCCCAACAAATTATATGGCTTGGCACATCAAGGGTTGTTTCACTTGAGGACCTTACCATGAGAAAACAGCTTGAGTGGGTGCTAACTATGGAATTTTGCTATGGTCATTTATGGTTGCACAAGGATCTACTGGTACTGGGGGTTGGGTGTTTAAGTAAGGTCTATTGCTGTTTGTTTAGCTTCTAAAGATGAAAGCCAAATGGATATCTTCTATACCCAAAAAAGGAAGCAGTAGTTGTTTGTATCAGAATGTCATAAAATAAAATGGGTTTCTCACTTCTTTTATTATCTGCGGTAAAGAAAATGGGAGAGGCTCAAAAGTTTTCTTCTTTGTTCCCTTTTTACATGCATGGAAAGCAGAAAGTTCACTTGATATACTTTCTAGGAACCCATGTTTAATGCCAGTCCGAACGATCTAGAAAGTAATCTTTGCTTTCAAGGTCGATTTCAGTTAGTATTGCGATATCAAACTTTTTTTCCACTGTCCTGAATGCCACTTTTTTGGCAACAATATTTGTCTCCAGACTGCAATCCAGCAAGCATGAATTATTTTTCGAACCATATGCTGTTGGCATTCCGATCTAGTCCAATTGTTATCCATGGGGAGCTGGAAGCAGGATTCTTTGTAAACCATGGCCATGTTTACTCACTTTTTTCGGTCAAGGGTTACACCTCTTGTTGTAAGTTGTGGGATTTGAAGCCATACCATGGAACTCAGCCACAATAGCAAGGGGAAGGGCAGACCACTGAAGCAAGTCTCATTATCTGCTTAGATGTTTCACTTTCTAATTCAATTTATTGTGCCCGCATTTTATTTAAGTAGTTTTTGCATGAACTGCAATTTTTTTTTGCTTTATATCAGTGCAGTTGGATTCTTTTCTCTGAAAAGTATGTAACTGCATCTTATTTCCAATCAATTTATTGGTTGTGTTTTTAATTTTGTGGAGTTGGTAGCCTTTTTCTTACGGCAGTTTATTCGCTTGGTTTCTGATACTGATTTTCCAGTTGCTACTGATTATTGTCCCTCTATCATCAATTATTCTCTGCTTTTGCAGTTTCGCTATGAGGAAATAATATCTGATTCAGCTTATTTAGATAGAGTTTTGGCAGAAGGCGCTACAAAAGCTGCAGAGATAACAGATGCTACTCTCGGTAATGTCTACCAAGCAATGGGATTCTTGCGTAGATGAGAGAATCAGTGTTGCAAGAAGAATATATATGAAAGTTACATACAACAACCTTAAAGTTTGCTTTTGGATGATTCAATGTCGCCCACAAACCTCTGGAGGCGACCCTTGAGCATAAGCATATGCTTGATCAGGGAACAAAGGTAATAATTAGCAAGGCCTACTGATTCTTTGATGCAGTCATTTCTACCTCTCGCTTCTGGACAGGTGCATTTAAATTGCTGCCGTACACTGAACGTGGTCTTTTCATTTTTTCCTCCTCTGTTTCTTTCTTTTCAGTCCTTTAAATGATAAGTATTTATTTTAATTGTATGCTTAACAAATCTTGGTTTTGTAGCTTGCTGAGAAGTAAATTATAATTACTGATAAATTATCCTTCTAATCCAAGGCAATCTGGTAACAGGTTGAAATCTTTGTTTTCTCTCCCTTTTTTTCTTGGTCACGTATTTTTGTTGTATTTTATTGTTGCGAGGGCCTGCTAAATAGTTAGAACCTTATTGCAACTAAAATGAGTTGTATCTGCAGAATATATGAAGACAAAGTACACCCAACGGGAATCTTGTTATTCTGGTGCTCTTGGTTATCGGAAGAAAAGAAAGTAGGATATTTTTTACACAATAGAAGAAAATGGGAATATGGTTAGGAAGCTTTTTTCTATCTTTAGAAGCCAAATCAGGGCATTACGTGGAGGCTTTATCAGTTTCCTCGCTGGATTCCTATCGACATAGTAGACAATGATAGAAAGAGAAGTCTTATATTTGCAGTGATTGTGAAAACAAAAGGCAAAAAAAAAAAAAGCAGTTTATATTCTCCTTTGCCATTGTTTTTATAATTTCTGCTAAAAAAATTACAACATTTTTTTGGCTTTTAACCAAAGGAGGAACTTTCATAACATGCTTGTAATAGTATCAAAAAGAAAAGGCAGAATAATAAAATAATGGCCTATTGAACTTCTAGTTATGATTCAAGGTGCTAAACCTCTGTAGTTTAGATATTACTTGAAATTTAAGTAGTTGAAGAGACTGTTTCTATAGTAGAATTAATGTGGGTCTACTTGCATACAGTAGTGGTTCTAGAGGGAGCATCTGCTACAGAGAGGTTCCATATATCCTTAAGCTTCTTATAGAAACTCACGCCTGACCCTAACCATTTCTGAAATTCTTTTATGATGAGTTCATTTTGTTTTGATGGGATTCTAAAAACGTGGCTTGCTATTTGGTCCACAAGAGATTCCTTCTATGGAGTTGCTTTCGATTACCATATTTCTATCCGCCACGTAGCCTTACCTTTCTTTGGACTTTACACCATGAAGTAGCATTCTATGTCTTATCAACAAAATTCTCATCCCACTACTCTTTCTATTTACCCATTTTTATTCAAGTGGTAAATTTTAGTTAATTATATAAATTCTGCGTAAAATACATAAACTTAATGTGAATGTTACGTTGAAATTCAATTTTCTTTGTTTCTTAGAATAAAAATTTTTACAATTATATAATTTAAATACTAAAAGAATTTTATATATTTCTAATATTCAGTGAATATAGTAGGATGAACTGAGTACTAAATGTAAGGAATAAGTTTTTGTTTTCTTCTCTCTTTAACTTCAACCCTCCTATATTTGTAGGACTAACTTAACTGTATTTAGATATCCTTCATATTTTAACTTAGCTTTAAAAGCTATATACTTTGTGAAAATGAGGAATAACACGACTGGTTTCAAGATTTGAATTTTAGTAAGAAGAGCTAAGTTACTTGAATGCAATCATCGATAAGTGAAATAAACCATTTATCTCCAGAAATATTATTAATATTTAGTCCTCAAACATCACATTTCAAGCAATATAATAGGAATGTTGATTTTTTTTCTTATTAAGAAAAAATTACACATTTATGTTTTAATTTATATACATCACATTGTAAATTTTGATTATTAAAATTTTTAAATGAGGGAAACATAACATTAAGGATTGAAAAAAGAATGATGTCCTTAATCGTTTGTGTTGTAACAATGTCTTCTTTAAAATTTTAGTGGAAAGAGCAATATGTGGCATTTCAAGTGCATTCGAGAAGTATAACTTGTTCCATGCATGAGTATGTCAAATTATTTTTTCATAGTTTTAGTCTTGAGATTGATTATGAGAAGAAGGAAAGACTTAATTGACATAATGCAATAGTTTGGTTACTGAAATTTAGATTCGTGTATAATTTGGGAACATGAGGCACATTAGTAAGCGTAAAGTGATGACTAATTTTTATGTCTCTAACTTCTATTCTTGTCGTTATTGAACTATCAATGATGATTGTTTTCTTATTATTGGGACACAGGATATAGGTGTTGAAGTACTTAATGGAATTGGTTATTTGAACTTTTGTTCCTAGATGTATCATCAAGAAAGTGAAAATGTTTACTTGATGGATTTAATTCATGTGAAATAGAAACGTAACCCGAATGTGCCAATAGACTTATATCTTTAGACTTTTACAAAAAACTCAAATCAAATGTATAGGTGCTCAATTTTTGCGTTATTCACTGAGATGGGTAGTATGCTCTTCCCCTTGTTGGTTGGCCATATGAGTTTATCCTTGAGACCTCGAGAAATTATTCTTGTACCCTAATCTTTAGTGGAGGTGGTAGGCTTATCATAGAGCTTCTAGCATTTTTCCTTGGTGTACCTTGGTTTCTTGCAAAAGTTATATCAAAGATTATTCTTATTCTCTATACTAGTTATTGATGTATTATTGTGACTCGTCTCCTTCGTCTGTTGCTATGGTTTGGAGCCTTTAGTTGTCATCATTAAGCTTTTTGTGGAGCGAGGCTCTAGCATAACCACCCTTCAACTCACTTTTGTAATTATAAGAGATATCGCTTCATTTAGTGATGAAATTTCTTATTTTTCCATAATCTGACTTGCGTAATCATATTGTTTATGAAGACCTACTATCAATTGGTATGCTTTATTATTCTCCACAAATTTCTTTGTAGTGACTATGTTTTTGATGCAATCCACAATGGGACATCAACACTGGTCAAGTTCTTATCACCAACCTTTTAAGAGGTTGGAGTATTTCGTCACTTGTATGTTTCTATATTTTGTAGAGCAAGCGTGGTTGTTAAATAACAAATGTGTTGTGTCTTAACCTTTGAGTACGTTTCTCTGACGGCTTCGAAAACCTATCTTACATTGATAAGAATATACATGCACCACTAATATTTGAGAGTACTAAGGTTTAGAGCTATGCCATTATCATTTAGTTTTTTTCATCCCAAGCATCAATTAATAGGTCTACCAGTCTTAGTCCTAGTGTTTAAAATGTGTAA